GCAAAAAACGGCCTGAAACTCAACATAAAAAAACCTAAGATCATGGCCACTGGTCCCATCACCTCCTGGGAAATAGAAGGGGAAGATATGGAGGCAGTGACAGATTTTACTTTCTTGGGCTCCATGATCACTGCAGATGGAGACAGCAGCCATGAAATTAAAAGACGCCTGCTTCTCGGGAGGAAAGCGATGACAAACCTTGACAGCATCTTAAAAAGCAGAGACATCACCTTGCCAACAAAAGTCCAAATAGTCAAAGCTATGGTTTTCCCTGTCATGATGTATGGAAGTGAGAGCTGGACCATAAAGAAAGCAGACTGCCGAAGAATTGATGTCTTTGAATTGTGGTGCTGGAGGAGGCTCTTGAGAGTCCTCTCCTTCCAAACCTATCCATTCCAAAGGAAATCAACCCTGAGTGCTCACTGGAAGGACAGATCCTGAAACTGAGTCTTCAATACTTTGGCCATCTCATGAGAAGACTCCTTGGAAAAGACCCTGATGTTAGGAAAGTGTGACGGCAAGAGGAGAAGGGGACGACAGAAGACGAGATGGTTGGACAGTGTCTGCGAAGCAACCAACATGAAATTGACACAACTACGGGAGGCAGTGGAAGATAGGAGGGCCTGGCGTGCTCTCGTTCATGGGGTCACGAAGAGTCGGACACGACTAAACGATACGATATATTCTATACAGTTCATCCCGAAAGAGGTGTCACAACTTCCCTGTCTGTCAGAACAACTTGCCTTAAAAAGTGTGTGGATTAGGGCCCTGGAGGCTAATTTTAATTGCAAAGCACATTTAAAGGCAGGAGCCAGCAATCATTCTCATACCAAGCTGCTTTTTTGATATGTATAGGGCAAAACCCTTGACTTCTGCTGGGAAATTGACCTGCCTTAAGTTATTTTCTGTCAAAACAAGCACTTGGAATAGGAGTTGGTAATTGACCAGTAGCCTGGGTAAATGTTTCAGTACCAATCTAATAAGGCCCATATGGTTAGTCCAAACACAGGAAGGATTTTGTTTTCAAAGTCTGCTGAAGGGCTGGGGTTGTTTGGCCCAGAGGAGGTTAATGTTGCCATTTTGTTCATAAACTTTAGGAACAATTTGTATTTCCTCTCTATTATCCCTGATAGGGAGGAAAATACTCTCTTTTAAAAATGCAACTAATGATACAGTTTGTGTGTGAGAACAAGCTTGTAGATATGTAAGAATTCAGGTCATTCCCTTAAACTATATACCGTATATATGGTGTATGTTTCTGCGGGAAGAACTTTACACCTGAAGAAACTTCAGTCACTCTTGCCTTTTAGGAACACAAAATTAGGCCAAGGGTGGGGAAAATTTTGTTATCGGGTTTTGTATCCTTATATTCTGCTGCTTGTTTGGTGCCCAGAGTAGTGCCCTGCCACTAGTTGGGTGGGATAAAAATACTGTATAATTAAACAAAAAAAACAAAAAATTGCCTTAGGGCTGCATGGAGCCTTCAAGGCCCTTTTTGAGTGCTTCAGATGTCCCTCCATTTCAAAATAATTCTACCACCCCCCCCAAAAAAAAAACCTTCACACCATTTTTTTCAGGTTTCTTCCTCCAATCTCTTCCCAAAATGAATAGGTGGCAGATATTCAGAAGACTTCAGTTTTGAACTTTTTTTCTCATTTGGGGGAGCTTGAATTTTTTCTAGTGGGTCCAGGGGTAAAAAATTGATGCCCAGAACTTAAACTAGGCATAGAAAGCTATGTGCTAGGTAGCTCAGTGGTTTGGGAATTTGGCTGAGCCAGAGATTGGGAGCTAAATTCCCCACTGACAGAGTTCTGCAGATCTATGATTATACGATTTGGAAAGAATAACACTGTTTTGTAAAAAGATACAGGGAGGAATCATTTGACTTATTTCCATTTTGAAAATGGAACTTAATAGATTAATAAGGGACTTATGATCACCATTTGTCAGCTGTGACTCTATATTGAATAATTAAAATGATACAATGACAGAGTAATTGCATATCAATAAACCCCTGACTGTCATACTAGTTATACCTTACCTAAGTGTTGGTTTGACAATTTAAATGGGAGCAGTTCTACACATTTATAGCAGACAATTGTGCACAACCCTTTCTACGGAGGTTGTATTTACTTTATTTCTATGAATTTTAAGAGACATGCCCCAAGACATAGGAAAGGAGCCATAATTCTCTGTGACTTGAGAAAAAGTGTTACCTTACTTATGAAATTAAAACACCTGGGCAATTAAAATACAGTAAATAAAATACAATTAAAATACAACCACCTTCAGCCTAAGGTGGTTGAGGCTGATTAGTTTTACAGCTCCAGCTAGCAACTGTAAACAGCATATTTGTAAGAATGGTTGATAGAAGTTTTGTGGATTGTTCTCTTTTTTTAACTAAGGAGTGCAGTGATTGTGGCATGATTTTCTGTGAAGTTGGTGTTTCTGTTCCTCACCTACCCATCCACCCAAACACACACACACAACATGAAACGAGACAGGTTAACTGCTACCATGCCCAATAGTCCCTTGTACTCATAAACACAGACTAGATTGAGGACAATTTAGTATACTGTATTATGTTTTATGTTTTCCTAGGTATAAGAAAATCTGCCCACTACTGGAAAATTCTGCATTTTTAAAGCTTGTTGAGGTATTGCTTTCACTTGGAAATTTAGTTAAGCCAAATGTAAAACTGCAGTTGCCCGGCACCGAGGCTACGCTAACAAAACTGCTGTCAACAAAGGAGAGAGGGGGGAGGGAAGCTAAGTAAAATGTTAACCAAAATGCCCTTCTGCTCCTGAAATCTCTATATCTAACCAGATGTCAAGCCTAAGGCTGCCATCCTGTTTGCAGCCACTTGGGAATAAGTCTTGCTGAACTTAGTAGGGTTTACATCTGATTAAACATGCATAGGGTTGGGCTGTGCATCACAATACCAGTTTAATCTAAATGCTGAAGTCAGAAAAGGACACTGACAAGATTTACCTTCTTGGTTGGTTCTGGCTGGACTGCTTATTAAACTTAAGATTCAATTGAAGAGTCAAAGCCCCCCCCCCCGTAGTATATTTTGTAGTCACTGCATGATGCAACTGCATGAAAGGGTGAAATATGCAAAGGACTCTGTCATTACAATACATACTTTGAACAGTACGGTATTAAAAACCGAGCTTCCTTAAAATAAAATAACTTTATAATAACCTAGTTACACAGGGACTTCTTGCAAACATAACATTATGGAATGAATGCTTCCCAGAGCCTAAAGCTACAGTCCTCTGTAACGGGAGTTACTTTTAACATGTTTCACATCAGACATGAAAGGTTTAGCTTAAGTGACTTCAAGATTCTGAACAAGGTCGAACACAGGTATTTAGGGGTTATGCTAGTGTGTTACAGGTTGGAAACTAACAAACTGCTGGCTAGTTCAGTGGTTTATGTACAGGCTGAGGAGCCAGAGGTTGGGAGTTCGATTCCCTCACTGTGTGCCCTTGACAGGGATGGACTTGAAGATCCATGGCGTCCCTTCCAGCTCTACAGTTCTAAGATTATTATTATTAATATCAGCAGCAGCAGCTTTATTGGCGTAAATTATGATTAATACCTTTCATTTGTAGTAATCTTTCATGGATAGGAGCCCACTTTGTTGAAGAAGCACATCCAAAAAGCAGGCTACAATCCATGTTTACGGCAAATAAGAATTTGTTTGTATGTAATGGGCAACAAAACTCGTTATTTATTTATTTTATGCTGCCTTTCTCCAAGTGCTGTTTACATTTATGTTCTCAGCCATTTGCTGCATTGTATCTTTTTTTTTAAGAATAGCAAAAACCATTTCTTCACAATGGATGGGTTAAATAAAAGGGGGAAATTATGGTGCTAGATCTCATAATAAGTCCAATAAATAAATAAATAATTTCTCATATGCAGTTCTTAATAAACAAATTCTTGTCTTAAAAGGTGGTGTTTTAAGCAAACTAAATGCAGATTTTAGAGTCTCCTAGCAGAGGCTGAGGTTAGCATACTTGACCAGGGATGGAGGAGGTGACAACAGCTTTTTCAGAAATCCTTTAATGCTAAAATGTTGCCTATTTGTTCATATCTGCACACCAGGCGGATTACATAACTGCACAGAGAGAGCAGCTGCAAGAGTAGATGATACAGATTAGAGATTATGTTGATTCAGCAGATTGTCGTGTGGATGTTTGAGAAAGATTACAGCATAGAAGTAAAGACTACCCATTTCTACAGGGTAAGCAGCAAGACAAGTAAAATAAATTAACTCAATACAAAATAACATTAAAAGTGTTTTTTAAAAATAATGTAATATGCTGTCATCATCTGACAAAATTAATTGTTAAAATTTTCTGTATGCATGCTGCCTTGAATTAATTGAAAGTAGAGTGCAAAAGCAACTAATCCCAAAAGAAATTTATCAATCTGAGAGTATCAAATTGTTGTCTTTAATGTGAATCTTAAAGGATATGCAACAAACCACTAAAATTACTTGGAAAATATTTTGATGTGTTGTTTTACAATTAAATTTTGGCTGATATACTGATGTCTTGCAATAAGGAATTGAAGGAACATGCCCAGTATGATGAAGAGAGAAGCAGGGACTTGATTCTTTTCCTCCTCCTCTGCTAAAAGGTTCCGAGTGATTTACAAAAGTTAATACAAGAACTAAATTCAAGCAATGCCATTATAGACATCTTACAAACTGAAAACAAGTATTTCAGTAACATATTAAAAACCCATTGGGGAAGATGAACAGCCTAACACATCCTTCCCTCTCTCTGAAAACAAGAAACAAAGCAAAGCAAAGCAAAGCGTGCTGCTTATATACTGCCCCATAGCGCTTCAAGCGAGCTGGGTACTCATTTTACCGACCTCGGAAGGATAGAAGGCTGAGTCAACCTTTAGCCACTACCTGGGATTGAACCCCAGGTCGGTAGCACAGTTTTGGCTGCAGTACAGCAGTTTAATCACTGCGCCACGAGGCTCTTTGAAACAAATTCACAAATTGCCAAAAAAAGGGCTGGATTCACCCTAGCCCAGCCTCATGTTTCTTATATAGTTTTTTCTTGACAGGGAGTAAAGCAGAGATGGATGAAGATAGCCTATTATTTATTAACTGAAGACGCGATACAGATTGGGTTGGGTACCCAGTGTTGTGTAGAGGACAGAATTCAAGAGATCAGGGTTTCAATGTCTGTTCATCCATGGAAACTCACTGAAACCACTACTTAAACACCTCATTTACATTGAAAGCTCTATTAGAATTACTATTGATTGATCAATTGCTTAAATGTTTATATCACTCCGCATTAGTGTCGAAGCACTACTTTGGGCGGTTTACAAGAATAAAACAAATCAAAATAAAATTAAAACTATTTAAAACCAAACAACAATTAAGCAATAAAACCAGATGGCACGAACTATAGAACAACAGAATGGCGGACGAAAGGAGGTCACTCCCAGACATCTTGGCCAGCACCGCAAGTGGCGATGATGTCTGGGAATTTCAGTCCAAGAACATCTGGGGACCCAAGGTTGGGAACCACTGGCTTAGATTACACCCACTGAAATCAATGAGACTTGAGACAGTAGTCACTCAGCTTCAGATTTCAATTGGTCTGCTCTAAACATAATGTGGTATGGATACATCCCTTTTCGTATTTAAAATACTTTATACCCTGACTTTCAAATGAGTTATCCTCAGTGCAGTTTAGAATAGATTATGATAAGCATTCATCGTTGTATGCAGAAGCCCCAGCAGCACTGAATCCCCAGGGAATGGTAGAGTTCAAAGTGTGCTTCTGCAGTTAAAGAGGTTCTGGAATTTTGTTGGAATGGGAGAAGCAGAGAAAAATGTTTGACAAGTATTTATGGCTCCTGAATACTTAAAAAATATGTAGTTCATTGGTTTAGGAACACTAACTATCTTCAATGCATTCAATATACATGTGAAATCTTTAAAAATAGTATATATATGAAAAGCTCTTAGGAAACCTTCAGGGAGTTCCCTGAGTACTGTGCACGTGAGTTGATGCATCTGTTAACTAATCTGTAAATTCCAGTATGAAATCAGGCATTCAGAAATAATGAGACAGCTGTTCTCCATTGTACTTATGCATCCCTACAGAATGCAGCTGTTTTTCAGGATGGAATTTAATCTGTTATGCGTACAGACAGGACTGTCCATGGTGCTCATCCACTGCTTTCGGCCTTCAGAAGTGTGCCAACTTTACAGCTCATTATTATTCTGATGGTGAAGAAAGGGACATTCATTTAATATTTTGTTTATACAAATATCTCTTTTTTATATTTAGTATTTCTTTCGTTTGATATATGTATAGTCATGTTATTTTGCAGCCTATACTACTTTTTGTTGTGCTACAGCACTGTAAGCTGCTTGGTCATTATTGTGTTCAGTTTCATGTTTCCTAACAAACAGGATGCTGCAAGAATCTATTTCTATCTCATCTGGATGCCCAAAAGTGATCAAAGTTAAATTATGGTTACAATTCTATGTGCCCTTACCTGAAATTAAGTCTCATTGAACTATGGGGAGATTACTTCCCATAAATAGATGCACATCAGAAGAAAACATGTAACCCTGTGCCTGTTTACTCAGAAATAAATAGCACTAGGTTCAATGGGCACGTTCCCGACTCTAGCTGAATAAAAACAATAGACAGCTCAATCCAAACAATCTATAAAATCCCAATTAAAACATAAAACATTATAGCCATGCCATGCATTGCAGTTTTGCTTTTAATTACATGGTTTATATCCCACCTTCAGGGCTCAACTAGCACTGCAGAAGCAACTAGCAATTTTATGAAGTTACAAGATCTGTGCTTTCTTTAGCTGAATGTAACACATGCATTTATGTATATTCTTAAACAGAAACCTTTTTTGGTCTAAGAGTGAACTGGACAAGCACATCTCTATCCACATGCCAGTGGTAAGTGGGGGCCTGCTGATATATGGGATGGAGTTTTGGAATGTCCCTGATGCCACATATCACTCACATACACCATATATAGACTGAATCAGGAGAAGGGCATTGCTTGGCAGGGGTCACTGTACTGAAGAAGGGGAAGTTAGCATTTCCCTCTCCAACAATGCCTCCTGCTGAAAATGCCTTCTGTTAGACTTCTTTAAAGTTTCCCTGGGGGAAGGTTCTTCAAGTAGTGTTCAGATTAGTGAAAGGCAATAGGTGATATTCAGGTTGGGACCCTACCTGATAATGCTATGAAATAAATTTATGCCGCAACTGGATTCAGTAATACAGTGGATGAAGAGCAGTAAACAAGACAGAGGTAACATGGGTCAATATTTCTTGTGTCTTAGGAAATGCTCATATGTTCAACTTCTTTTCAAGCAGATTTGCAGTGTGAGAGTGATTATTATTTAGCTTTGCCGCAAGAGACCCAGACAGACTGGGATGCACGAGTGCTATTGTCCAACTTCGGCCAGTTGGCCAGCTACAAACATTTGTCAGCAGGGATACTCTTGTCCTGGCAATACTATGTTATATATACTATGGGACTGTCCTTGAAGAAAATTCAGAACGAACACTACTAATTCTGAAATTCTCTTGCTCTACATAAATCTCGCTAAATAGTGCACATCTTGTGTTATACATTCATCTCTGCCTGCATCACTGCAAGTGCCAATTATTACAGAATTCAGCTGCTAGAATTTTAACTGGTGCAATATGTATAGTTGTCTCACAAGATCACAAGTTCTGTAGACAGCTCACAAAACAAATACAATTAAGAGACACTATAAAATGATTAGAAGCTAACAACACAAGTGAAATACAGATCTAGAATAAGAGGAGCAGATCTGTAGAGGAGAACCAACTAATAGCTGGTTCAAATCACTCCAGTCTTAAACAGACAGCACTTGGGCGAAGAGAAGGGAGTCTTTAGAAGTCAAAAATCACTGTTGAATCACCACTGCTGAGATCAGGACCAGCGTGGTGATCTGCTGTGATTTTTAACTTTTAAATATTCACCCCTCCCTTGTTCCCAAGGCTCACAAAGGCATTCCTGGGGGAAAAGGGAGCCCCAGGGAGTCTCAAAACCTAAGATGGGGGGGGGATAGGATTTTTTTAAAAAAAAATTAGTGTACATTAAATGTTTCTGGCACTTGATCTAGGTTACCCTGGGTCCAAAGTTACATAACAGGATTTGGCTCAACAGATAATAATAAACAAGTACAAAAAACATTGTTAACATATTTTATGTATTCTATTGTATTGCAAACAGCTGATCTGCTATGGCCTTTTCCTTACAAAACAGCATCTATTTTATGTATTTTGGAGGACAGATGTATTAGGTATTAATGGAACTGTCTGAAGGATGATGCAGGCGGAGATGAACGCATTACACAAGATGTACACTATTTAGCAAGATTTATGCAGAGGAAGAGAGTTTCAGAATTAGTAGTATTCATTCTTTCATCAAGTACTGCAATTTCAGAAGAATTAGTTCGCCAAGTATTCTTGGGAAAGTGTTCACAAAGAGTTCTTTCACACTTCCTGGCTGTAAGGTTGGTCAGGTTGACCCATATGCTCTTGTACTCATAGCAGTACAAAACCAATCCATGTCAGTCATACTCACTGAAGTCAAAATGCATCGGGTTGCTTGGGTAGCTTTGTGCACTCTAAAGGCTGTTTCTTCATGTTCCTTTTAAAGAAATCATGAGTGGATTCTCTAGACTTGAAACTGTGTCTGAAGGGTCATGAAGCCATTGGAGCTGATCTATAATGCATTTCTCTAAAAAAAAAACTGAGTTCCAGCCATGAAAGATTTATGCCATAGCAAATTTGTTAGTTTTTAAGGAATCCCCAGACTTCTTACATTTTTGCTGCAACAGAATTAATTGTAAGTCACTAATGCAGTCTGTTAGGCTGTTTGTGAAGATTTCTACACATGTAGATACATGTATCACATTCAGATGCTTCCGTTTTAGAAAGATACTGCATAGGTATTTTTATTTATTTGTTCGATTTATATCCCACCCATCTGGTATATTCTACCACTCTGGGCATATATATATATATCCCACATTTTAGCCCTGGTCTGTGAAGGTAACATATACACCACATTACTGATAAACAAGGAACAGTGGAAGCAAAGAAGGAATGAATGATTGGCTGGATATTAAAATAAATGAATAAAACAAAAGAAAAGCACAGTGCAATAGAAAGATTTAGAATATACATTGAAGTGAGAAAAGACTGGAAGCCAATCAGGACTCACAGCTTGGGTTCTGCAAATAGAAGCACCCCATCTCATATCTTTAGACATAAGTATGGGTGCCACAATGTAAGCTATCTGAGTTGCAATTGTTGGGCATACAGTATACAGTAATATGGGATTGGATATGTTCCTATAGTGTTTCCAGCCACTGCTGTATTTTGCTCAGCATTTAGTCTGTCCATATGAACAACATGGACAGTTGTGAAGCCATGCAGGTCACACATTTTGTGGATCCAACCTCCCACTATCAATGCAAACTCATATATCCTATGGAGAAGTAGTTCTTTGCTATAGTGCAAACTGTCACATTACCAGAATTTTTTTAAAAATATATATATTTTTATCATAATAAGGCAACAACAACACTACTTACTGTGTGAGCAAAATGATTAAAATATAAGGCAAAGTTATAGAATGTGGTGAACTGCCACATCCAGTCACAACAATGCTGTAGTGGAAAGGTCATGGCAACTCAAATATGATCTGAGCCTTCGTTTTAGTAAATCCCCCCCAGTGAACAAAATAGGGAAAAGGACGAGAAATGGTTGTTCCCGTCTTAATGGGGGAGAAGAAATTCTTAAAGGAGAAGTATTGAATAGCAGCAATAATGGAAGGTGACACTGGTGGAAGATGTTTCACAGATAATGACACTGATCCTTACCCTAATACATGATAACAGAGCAGAAGGCAGCAATGATAAATCGCTTCTGAGTATTTGTACTTCCAAAAACCTGTGATGAGACAATCCAAAATAAACTAGATAGTGCTGGGAGATGAGACTCCTAAATTGAAAGGCACTTGATCAGCTACTGGGAAAGGATAAGTTCATAAACCACTGTTCCTAATTAAGCAACTAGATTAAAGACAAAATGATGTTTAGTGGCTGTCAGGCATACAAGGAAAAAGTTGCATGATGTCGAATGACATGTACTTGGAATGGGATATAGAATCATAGATTCACCGAATAATTGAGTTGGAAGGGACCTGTAAGGCCATTGAATCCAACCCACTTCTCAATGCAGGGGGTTACTTCCTATCTAGGAAGTATGAATCAGGGTATGTCAAAGTTACAAGATAAGAAATTGAATGTTTAAACAATGTAATATTTTAAGGGAGTGAATTCAATTATAGAATTACAAAGTATTTACTCTGGAAGTGACAAATTCAGAAGAATCAGTGTAGCAAGATGTAGCACAAACAATTCCGTGCTATAATGTAAAGTCTAACTTAATTATCAGCCAGCCTTCATGGATAGCCTATCAACATCATCACCTTTCATAGTGAATGACTGACAAAGTGTTAAGAATGGACCAGAAGCAAGAGCAAAAGGTGGCAGAAATAGGTCCAAATCCTAAATGCAACAAAAGTGTTATGGCCTTGATTTACTAATTTAGGCCTCTAGGGAGAGTTCAGATGTTACTTGATTTAGCACTTACAGTATTTCTTTGTTTGTATCGTCTCTGGGAGCTGTGAGGCTCTCTGATACAACATTTCAAGTGAGTTCAGATGTTACTTGATTTAGCACTTATTTCTTTGTTCGTATCATCTCTGGGAGCTGTAAGGCTCTCTGATACAACATTTCAAGAACAGTAAATTTCTTTTTTCTTGTCAACTTTTTCCATTGATCGTAATTTCTCTATACAGTAGCTATATTTTGAATGAAGTGTACTGAGCCACCACTAATACCTCCACATTTATATTTTTTTTCTACTGTAGATTGTGTGCAGTGACATTGTAAAAATCACTTTTTCTGCTAATATAACCACATTATTCTATTGCAAGAAAATGAAGTAAGTCTTGTGACACTTAAAGGCAAATTTATTGTAGTATATGTTTTTCTCGGACTGTTGATAAAGTGGACTGTAGTCCTTGGAAACTTAAGAAATAATTAATCTGCCAAGTCTTTCTGTTACCACAAAACTCTATGATTTTCTTATGAATTAATTATGAAAAAAATATGTTAGCACAATTGAAACATTAAACTTTAGTAGTTAGAACCTGCCTGGTTGGTACTGGCCAATTAAAATGTGTTAGGTGAAATTATTATTATTATTATTTTTTGTTCTTCAGTTTATTGCATTCCTAGACATTCACACAGGCACACCTTAGTTAGATTCTTCCAGGTACATGCTGGCCAACTCATGCATTAACCTTCAAAACTTCATACCTATAAAATGACTAATGTACATTTGTATTTGTTTAGCTCATATTCAGCACCTTCTTTTCCACCTTTAACAGTGCTGAGATAATTTTAGCCTGAATATATGTATCAGATGGAAATTAACTGTATCAAGAGATTTGCTGAATCTTTCTCCTTGGGGCTCAAGGTAGTGTGTGGCTGGTTTCTTTTTAATTTATAGTTAACTTATTCCTAATATAGGGATGTGGTGGCACTGCAGGTTAAACCGCAGAAGCATCTGTGCTGCAAGGTCAGAAGACCAGCAGTCATAAGATCAAATCCACACGACAGAGTGAGCCTCGTGGCGCAGTGGTCAAACCACTGTGCTGCAACCAAAACTGTGCTCACGACCTGGAGTTCAATCCCAGGTAGCCGGCTCAAGGTTGACTCAGCCTTCTATCCTTCCGAGGTCTGTAAAATGAGTACCCAGCTTGCTGGAGGAGGGGGCAATGTGTAGCCTGCATAATTAACTTGTAAACCGCCCAGAGAGTGCTTGAAGTGCTATGGGGCGGTATATAAGCAGCACGCTTTGCTTTGTCCCCAGCTCCTGCCAACCTAGCAGTTCAAAGGAAGTAAAAATGCGAGTAGATAAATAGGTACGTCCGTGGTGGGAACGTCACAGCGTTCCATGTCTAGTCGCGCTGGCCACGTGACCACGGAAACTGTCTTCAGAGAAACACTGGCTCTATGGTTTGGAGACGGGGATGAGTAGTCAGACATGACTGGACTAAATGTCAAAGGGAACCTTTACCTATTCCTAACCCACAGATCTGGCTATAGCCAGCATTCTCTTTTTTTCTCAGCCCTAGTAGATAAATTATCATTTTCTAGGAAGTGGTAGCTAAACATTGTGGTGGGGCAAACATACATGCATTCAGGGACATTTTTGAAAATTCTGGCTTCAGTTATAGTTCAAAGTAGACAGGGGTGTACAGGTCCATGGCTGGCGCTTTCATTACTGACCCCTCCCAAGAGCCACAACCCAGGAGGCGGTCTGCTTGTCAATTCTTGGAGCACCTTTCCTCTGCTGTTCTCTTCCCCTTCTTTTGATGACAGTTCATCTGCCCTCTTTAAGCATAACACCAGAAAGAAGGCAGAACCTCTTCTCTTATGTCTTCTCCCTTAGGGCGGTGTTGCAGAGTGAGCTCAGAGGAAAAAAGTCAAACAAGAACTGCTGGGGAGCTCAGTGGTTTAGGTATCCGACTGTAGAGCTAAAGGCTGAGAGCTTGATCTATGGTCCATAGGGACACTTCCAGTTCTTCAATTAGGAGGTTATTGTTATATTATTATTAAATGCAAAGATGTGGCAGGAACCAAAGAGAAGGAGGATCGAATAGTTGTGGGTTTTTCGGGCTCTTTGGCCGTGTTCTGAAGGTTGTTCCTCCTAACGTTTCGCCAGTCTCTGTGGCCATGGGCATCTTCAGAGGACAGCACTCTGTGCTCCCCACACAGAAGGAGGATCATTCTGGGGAGAAACTCCACCAAGACCATATTCCTCCAAATCCTGACAAAATCTAGAATCAGCCCTGATAATGTGTGAGAGAATATTACTTGCAAGAGAACCATAAAGATTTGGTCTGTACTGGTTCAATAGCATTCTCATGTCTAATAGTTTACAGCAACAAACATATAAGGTGTTATATTGGCTTCAATCCATCATAGGGGAAAAAACTGCAGGTCAACCATATCTCAGACTGGAAAAATTACTTCCAGTAATACGTTGCTGTGTGTCCGGTTGCTGCTTCAGGTACAGTGGCACAAAATGCCATGACATACATTCAGATTCCAGAAATGGGCACTAAAGAGTTTGCTAACCTGTGAAGAATGGCCAAGTGTGGTTTCTTTGTGTCAGCTTAATATTTGCAGCCTCCTTGGAGTTGTTTCTCCAGTTGTGGGATTGGCAATAGCTTCCTTAGATCTCACAAGCAGCAGAACGAGATGGTCATGCTTGGACGATACCACATGATTATAGCTGGGGGTTAACATCCAGACGATTAGAAGCCATAGATGGCAAGCAAGTGTAAAGTAGGTTTTCGCCTGACATGCTACATACATTTTCTTTTTGAGGAGCCCTTTTTGCTGATGGGAATTCATTATGTGAAACTTCACCTGCAGTCAGAAATGGAATAGGCCACATGTAGGTTTATCATCTCACCTCCACTCTGTGAGAACTGAATCTATATTTAGATAGAATATCAGGAAAATGTTCCCAGTTGCATTAACAGTTGGCTCACTCTTTATTATTTAGATATGTGGTGGCCCTAGACAGTGTATAGTTTTAGCTGATGACGAATTTCCAACACATCTAACCCATAAAAACTGATAGTGGTCACTATGCTTTTTCTTTTTTCTTCCTGGTAAAATTTTTATTCAGAATTTTTCTGGCATAGTTAAGGCTTTAAAATAAAAAAATTGACTATTACATTTACTAAGGAAATTGTATAATTCATATATATATATAAGCACCTGCTTGATGATTATGCTAGATTAGTATGTTGAAGCTACTGTAGTGGTCCAGGTGAGTGTTGTCATTTACTTTTCTGTGTTGTAAAAGAAAGCAGTACCATTATCAGAGGGTAGAAATAGAAATTAGAGATAGCTAGTGATTAGAGCTGAAAGCATATTACTTTTGAAGAGAAGGCTGAAGGGCCAATCTTTCATGTTTAAGAAATCAGACTTCAGAGGAATTCTGTGCTTAGCTCCCAAAGACCAATCACAGAACAAAGCACACTGATTTTCAAATGAGATGAGAAGAACACTGTCTGTGCTCTAAGACTCTTTCAGCCATTAAGGAATTCCCCCTTTTAGCCATTGGCTATCTATAAGGTATGTTTCTGCCCTAACCTTACATTCAGTGGAAGTGAACTCCAATGAATATAATGTCCCATCCAACTATAATCACAGCTACAGCCTGGGACCTATAGGTAGTATGTGTACGCTGAAGCCAGTGTTTCAAAATTTCTAAAAAAGCAGCAGCAAAGCTGGTTATAAAATTGTGTGGTTTTTAAAAAAAAACTCTGGCCTATTATCTCCACATTTTATAGCTCTCGTTTGGTTGAATACTGTTTCTGAGAAGTGATAACAATCCGTTGACAAAGAAAAATGACCTACGTGTGGTAGAGGGCTGTATATGGGAGGCAGGCATCCTTTCTCACTCTAGTAAAACCTGATGGTAATCAGTTAATGTAATCTTCTTGTAACAGTACACCTGCCGACCTGAACAAAGAGGCCTCGGGGACAGTTTTCTCTGCAAGTCTGGTTACCAAAGCAGCATCCAAAGAAAACAACACTATAAAAACTTGAAGTAACCAAGTTGTACAAACTATAGTTTTTATCGCTATACACAACACGTCATTGCTAACTATTGTAGCCGGTGGATCACAGCTGAAAGAGGAAATAAAGAAGCAAGTCACTGTGGCATTTACACAGATTGGTTAGGGAATGAAAGAAAGACAGCTCAATTAATTTTCACACATAACAACACACAACTATTAAAACCTTTGAATTTGTGCAGATACATTTTGCCTATAAAAGATGGGGTGGAGACCAACAGAATGCTACCCTCTCTTCCAAACTTAAGATATAATATGGCCATGGATTTCCAGATTGGTAGCACATTCGTCTGTCACAGCAAAAACAGTAGCAATGGCCCAAATCCTATTGTAAAATACCACTCGCGTAACAGAACAGTTATTGTGATTTGTCAGCTGTCAACTGCATGCTCAGATACGTAACCGGGGCCACACACCTCACTGAGAAACTAGAGGACTATGGGCTGCATGACAGACAGCTAGCAAATTGCTTCCTATTGCTTGCAAGAGAGGTTTTCTGCAGTTGCATAATGTGATAAGATTTCAGTCAGAAAGTCTAGTAGCACTTTAAATTCCTACAAGTTTTATTTAGCATAAGCTTTCATGGATTGACATTAGCTTGATAGCTCAGTGAGTTAGGTATCAATCTGTGGGAGTTCAATTGCCCACCTGGTATAAGATAAGAAATCTCTGTAATCAATATATGTTGCATGAGGAGTTGGGTGGCTCAGTGTGCAACAGAAAATGTCTACAGTGATTTCTGAACTTATGGCAGTTTGGTTCAAAAATTTAAACCTTTTGCATAATGGTGCCACAGGATTTCAGCCAACATACTAGCAAATCCAACTTCAGCCAAAATTATTTGTAGTTGAAAACATGTCAAATTAAAAAAATGTAAATATTTTCAATAGTGTTTTCTGAGGCAATATACCATCTGATTAAAATTCAAAAACAATTGAAAAGCCTTATTAAAAAAAACAAAAGCAATGGAAAGAACTGACAGGAATCGCAGAAAACAATTAAAATGTAGTAACAGACAGTGAATGTAGATGGTCTCTAATCCTGCTGAAAGCTTACAGGAAAAAAATGGTCTTAAGCACCATCTGAAACTATCAAAGATGGGAAGGTCATTTCATGATCAAGACACCACAATTTTAAACGCCCTGCCTCCATTGAATCAAGCTGGTTCGAATCCTAGGAGGTGTCCCGTTCAAATAGATCTCTGAGCAATATGTGGGCACATCAAGATCTTGAGAGTCAGTCCAGATCTCTGCAGAACCACAACAGATACACTAGAAAA